ACCGCTGAATTTAAAAATAGTCTAAAATCCGTAGCGTTATACGATGTCCAGAAAAAACCTTTCTATATTCCCTAATATATTTAATTTTAATCAATTTCATACCACTTTAATATAATTATCAATATAAATGATTATAAATATAAAGTCTCTTAATTGCTTTTATTTAATTATCAGTTATTTCTCAACTTATCTTTACTTTTACAACAAATAATAATTTATATTTTTATTTAATTATTATATTAATACAATTTTCAAAAGTATGAAAACGAAGTTATAATTATTTAATATTTTATGATTAATAAAATTTTATGAACTATTTTTATCATTTTAAATAATTACTAAAATTTATTAATATATAATAACATTTATTAAAATAATGATCCACTTGTTCAACATAAAATATTATATTAATTTATTGTCAAATAATCTATTAAATGACGTAAACACACTTGATAGAATGTAAAATATAATTAAACTTATACCACTATATTTTTATGACTAAATATATTATTTCTATGTACTATTATAATAATTAAAATTTAAAAATTTAAAATTATTAAATAATTAAAAAATTATGGCTAATTCATTATCTGAGGGTTAAGTTTTCTATTAAATTTTTAAAAATCCGCCATAGACTTTTGGGTATCCTTACCTTGTTAGTAAAATATAAACATTTAAATCATATGCAAGATTAAGTTTTAAATATTAACTAATTATATTACATCAGTGAATTAAGTTACTGTATTTGGTCGCCAATATTAATATCAATGAGCCAGCAACGTTTATGATGTTTATTAGCAATAGATTTGCGAGCGTCCCGTGAGTAGGCCAATAGGCTAGGTGCTTGGTCATATAGCATTTTTTGCCCAGCTAATACCGTTGACAGATGTGGACTATTAAGTAATTTTATCGGGCATTGAATCGAGGCTTTAATCTCTAATATTGTAATAGAAATATAATTTGAATACCATTTTTCAAAAATTAATAATTCAATTACCATTTAATATGGAATTAATCGTCGAATAAATAGCCGTAGTTCGGAGGATCTCTTTAGCAAACTGACGTAGGTGAGTTAAAAATCGTATTAATATTATACCGTTGAGACCGATATTATTTTGAACAAACTCTTTGCGACTCAAAATTTTATCCAGTTCAAATTGAGATTTGTCTATTTTAGATTGGTAATTTGCTTGTTTTTGTTTGAACTCTGGTTCTATAATGTCGAGGTAAGTTTTAATTTTTTCAAAATCTTGCTTATTAATGTCCAGTTTGCCGTTTAAATTGCTTAATTTTTGTGCAAGCTGACATTCTTCATTTTTAGGTTTGACAAGATTCATTTTGTTTTTCAATAATCTAGTTTTAATATTTGCCGATTTGTAACCTGATGACCCTTTTTGTACTCGCATTCTAGACAATTTCAATTTATTTCTAACCAAATGCAATTGTTTTATATCTTTTAACTTTTGATCTCGCTCAATTTGGACAATCTCTATTTGCTTGGATAGTTCATTAATACGTGACTTAAAAAGATTTAATCTGCCTAGGTAATGAATGTAAAAATTAAATTAGCTTACAACTCATTTATGGAAAGAAAATACCTTTGTTATAATTTAATTCAATTGTCAATTGTTTTTGCTTCAATTGATATTGCTCAATTTTAGTTTCCAACAAAGCTTGTTTATCCATATATAGCGCTGCATCAGGACCAATTATATTTAATATGTTCAAGTTGAAATTAGAAAATTCAAACAACGAATCAATTGTCAATCTATTAACTTCGTTGCAGCACATGTTTAGCGTTTTTAGATTATCCAAGCTAATTTTTCTATAAATTTTTATATGATCTATATGTAATGGAAATATGTTTTTATTATTTTATAATTATGTAAGTTACAAAATAAAATAATAAAATATAATACCTTGGTTATATAACTCTAGATTGCAACAATCAATTGTATTTTTAGCAAACGCACTAATTATAGTAAAACTTTTTCGGATAATTTGCCTTGCTTGTGCTTCGTGAAACAATGTCCTATTTAGCATGAACAAAATCTGTAAATATAATTTAACTCCGTTACTGCTGTTAATATAATATTATTTTACAATAAATTACTAAATTGCTATTAAATTTTGCAATAGACCTTTACCATTTGTTTCATTGTTATCTTAGTAAATTAATACAATATTAGATGACGCTCCCCTCACCCTATCTAGCCTACCAGTGCCTCCCCTCTCAATATAACCCCTTATTAGTCTACAAATGTTAGCTGTGTAGTGATATGATAATAACAATTTTTGAGTGGGCCATTTAATTTTAAGCTAGGTTATTAGGACAGAATAGGAACCATTGATAACATGGCGACAAATATGCCAAAATTACGCACATTTTGCAGACCTAATTGACCTTTTTATAAAATTATACTCATTATTTTATTTAATATTATGTAAAAGTAAGTTAGTTAATTTAAGTAAATTAAATATATTTATATTGTTCTATGTTTTGAACTATTCAGTTGTACAGTACTTACAGTATCCTTCCAAAATATAGCTTGCTGAGGGGTTGAAAAACCTTTTGGCTTATACCCAGCTATCGTGGTTACGTACGTAACGATTCGGTTCAGTGACTCAGATGATTGACTTATTCGATCGATGCCCAAAAGATCCAGGTTAATATAATTGTTGCTATAAGTTGAGCTTGTATTCGACGTCGCGATCGATAGTATAGTAGTTTTATCATTACATTCATCCTCATCGTATAAATCGGAAATTATTTTATACATGGCCATTTTATTTTTGAAAATATATTCAATATTACGATCTTAGATGTTTCACATTACATATATTTTATTTTAAATAAACTTGTACAAATAAAATTTAGATAAATATAAAAATTATTATGGCCTGCTCCAATACTACAGGTATTTTTCATCAGACAAAAAAGACATAAATATAAAAATAAGATGTTTGAAATAATTATAATAACAATCAGTGTTGTAAAAGATTTACTCTGTTTTTGGAAATATATTATTGTTTTTAATGAATTTAAGAACTTGAAACTCAAGGTTAAAATTATTAAGAATAAATGACATTTAACAATGCATATAATTCAATAGATAATAAAACGTCACACGTACTATATAAATTTGAAATTTTTATAAACAATATTATAACATTGATAATTGTACATTTTCTGATTGATAATAATCATGCTTACCAAACAAAATTAAATGCCATATATAATATCTTACTTAATTACTGGTATTCCAAAGTAAGTAGACTAATCGTAAAACTGTATTAATAAAATGATAAAATAAATGTATTCAGACATATAGGGAGTTTAATGTGAAATGTATTAGATGAAAAATAACAGGATGATCAATATCGGTTTATTAGGCGCCATATAAAAACCTTTGAATAAGCATTGTGTGTCGCATACTTATCACAATATTTGGTATAAAATTATAAATAATATATTGCAATATTTGATAACAAACCAGACTACAGCATAATTTTATATAAGTAATAGATAAAGATACTTAATAAATGAGATAATAAACAAATATACATATAACATAATGAATTTCATTATCAAACAAGGTATGTCAGGAAATTCAATTCAAAACGCGATTCTAGTTTGTTTTAAATAATTTTTTTTACAAAATGCCATCATTAATTTTAAAAACAGTTTAAGATTTTGAATTTTTTAAAATTTATATTAGCATATATTCAGAACCAACAAATAGGTAAATCAATGTAATTTATATACATATGTATGGTTGCTACTTGAGCATTTTTTAATGAATTTTTAGCAATCTTAACGAATTTATTAATAGATTTAACAGGGGATTTGTGATAATTTTATACATTTCGACATTAAGTTAATGTGGTGTTTTTAACGGTTTCGGTCATTTGACCTACGAGTCATTTGACCTACAAGTTCAAACATGTTATTTATGGATGCAAACATTTTCAGGTTATGTTAGGTTAAGTAAAGAATTCAAAAATGACGTTTAAAAATAAATTCGTCCATAAATTTTTTATGAAATTTTTTTAAAGAGTATTTTTTGTTTCTGAGTTGCATAAGGGTAAATGTGCAATTTTACATATTTGTAGGTCAAATGACTCGTAGGGCAAATGACCCCAGACCGTTTTTAACTCTTAGCTTTTAAACATTAGCATAAGCATAAAATGTAAATATCTTATTTTAACGAATTCTTTTGTAAACTTAACATTAAAAAATTTTACAATATGTAATAGTGGTTGAGGGAGGGGGGTTATAATGAGAATCTATTTAAATCGTTTTTAATCCTTATAAAATAAAATATGCTTATATATAAAAACTGATATAGTGTAATTGAATAACTTTTTAATTAAGTTATTTTGCATCAAACAACAAAATGTTTGATCTCTACGACGAGGACGAGGACGAGAACAAGAGCGGGCCGTTGGTTCCCGTATCGTCTCCGCTATCGACACAGGTATCGACTCCGGCATCGACTTTCGTGGCCGAGGCATCAGATGAACAATTGGTAGCAATGCCGCCCGATATGTTGATTGCCAGCGCCAACGAGAGACACATGTTGATCGCCCAGGAGACCAAAATCCTGAGCGACAAAATGAAACAATGCGAACTAATCGTTTTGAAAGCGTATAGGGTGTCGGATTTCGTGCCCACTTGCGATACTTCGGATCAGGAGAAAATGTGGAAGGGAACGGTATGTCAATTAATACAAGCTATATATTGATTCATCAGTGCTTAGACTTAGTTTAGTCCGGTGGAAAGGTCAGACAAACGTACCAGAGGGGTGGTAAATTAGGGTTATGTTGGAGTTAGGTGGGGATAACCTGGGTTTAGGTAAGCGTAGCTCCCATATTGCACAATGTTAAAATAGACGTTCAACGGGTTGATGTTTCTATTTTGAGAATCACTAAGTTAAATCTGTGACCTCAAATCTGGTATAACTAGTTTTGGTTGTTTAATTGGAAGCTAATCTTGATTGATTTATTACGTAGATAACACCGATACTGTTACAAACGATTACGGAGGATGTTTACGCCCGATCGGTAATAACGGAAAGCTTTTCGGCATTACGTGTGCTCTCGATTACATTGCAGAGTGCCTACGAAATTATAAGGGCAACCAGGGGTAAATATGTAATTTTATTTTATTCTATCTATCACTAATGGAATAGTTGGGTGAGTTATTTTAATATTTTAAAAATTATTAGTTATGTATTATTTCTGGAAATTTATGTTAATTAATTAACTTTGAAAATTAGTTGTGAAAAATTTACTATACAAAATATTATTTACAACATTCTCGAGCTAGACTTTCATTGTTTATTACAGATTTTGTTTTCTGATCAAAATTCAATTAATAATTTTTTTAAAAATTGATAATGTAATTTACCAACATGGAGCACATTTATATTTAATTTGAAATCATTTTGAAATTTTAAAATCGCAATTAAAACCACGATGAATATAACTTTTTGTTAAACTTTACAAATGTTATCAATATACAATATATATATATATATTATTGTTTTACAGGCAGTCCTGAAGCTATCGAAATTGCGAAACAGGATATACCGGAAGCGTTGGCCAATATCGATAAATGTATCGAAAAGGTCGAGAATTTGAAAAATGAAGGTATGCGGAAATTTGGTGATAGTACCAAGATCATATTGGAAATAGCCGGGCCTGCAATTGCTGATAAAGTAGATGACCTGGCTCTGTATAATAAGGAAATCAATAAAGCTCTAGAAACTGAGATTAGATTACTAAATAATTTACACAAAGCTGAAGGTAAGGGGGTTAGGTTTATAGATGTTTTAACTAAGATGATTTTTTTCAACTAATGCCGGACAGCCGATGCGATACACTACGAAAATTTAATCAAGGTGGTAAAATCTAAGAGGGAGGCTGTTCAAAAAGAGATTAATGCAATTGAAAATCAGAAAGAGCAGTTATTGGACATGAAAATAGAACTTAATCAGAAAATTCAAAATATTCCCGCAAAAATTACAGAAGAGCGCAAGGTTAAGACAACTGATAAAATGTTATGGGGGTTGTTCAAGAAAAAATCTTCCCAGGTGATCATTGAAGAGGTATGTCAAATTATGCGTACTCGTTTAGAAAATTAATTTATGTCTAATTGTGTTTAGAAATTATAAAATTAATTTTTTTATTTAATATTCACTTAAATAATATCATATATAATCAATTATTTAAGGTTAAGAATTGATTTTTGTTTTGAAAAAAATTTCTATAAAATACATTAAAAAATAAATTAAATACAAATTCTTTGCACAGCATAACATAACAATAGCTGAATTTACAGTCAAAAAGATTATTGAATTTATTCAATACTTTAACAATGTAACATATTTGAAATTTACACTGACCTAGGTGGATAACCCAAATAGAGAGAGTGAACAGAAATTTTACGAAAGTGTGATCAACGCGCGCTCCGATCGCATCGCTAAAGAGGACGGCACCGCAAACGCCAGGCGAGCGGTGGTCGACGATCTGGACAAACAAATTAAGAAATATGATAAAGCTTACCAGGGAGCGTTAATCGCGATCAAGATAGCCGAAGAGGAGAAGCAAAAAATGGAACAGGGTGAAAGTGGCACCACGGAGACCATCCAACGAAATCGCGAGTTGATTAAGAAGACGCGCGAAAGTGTCGCCACCCTGGAGACAAATTTTGGACAAAACGGACAGACGCTCGTCGATTGCCTATCGAATTTGAAGTCGTTTAACCAGAGTCTGTATGGTGGCGCCACCGCTTACTCGCCTATGATTTCAATTCTAAAGGGTAATGTATTAAATTAAAGTTTTGGGTCGTTTATAGAAATCATATAATAATACTGTATTACAAAATTATAAAATCTACATTCTAATATAATTTTGGACTTCTATGGTAACTGATATAGTATAGTACTACGAGAGTCAATCTATAATGATAAATTATTTATAATAGATGAATTTCTTTTTAATAGAATATACGCCATAAACCTTGGAAATTCAAAATTTAGATATTCAAAATTTTAATAATACATTTTAATGCTTAAAATATAGGTTTATTTTAATCACTTGTTTATACGGTCTCACTTAACTGGTATAGTTTCTAAACTGGTTTCATAAAGATAAATAGTTACTAATGAAAAACTAAACATCTAAAAATTATAATATTGACTCACAAATTACAGTCAAATCTTTCATGATAAACTCAATTTCAAGATGATTATTCATGATAAAGAATTATTTTATTAGTGAACCACAAGATTAACTGCTTAAATTTTAACAATACTAATTTCACCAGTTTAAAAATATTATTTTTAATCAAATTATTTACTATATTAAATTATTTGTTTATTTAGAATTTTTTTTAAACATTATCTAGAAATTAGGGCCATGGTTTCGATGAAGGTCCGATTGCTACAAACTTTAAATCCACAATTAGTATTTGTAACAGGTAAAATGCTAATGCAGCAGGTAGGATTTTTGTCAAAATATAACATGGTTGCCATGGATGCGGTCAGCCAATCGCACGGCTATAGTGAGGTCTCTAATGCTATTGAGCCTGGTATGAAAAGGCTTGCAATTGAATAAATGACAACGTTTACGGCCTTGATAACTATTCGAAATTTATTAATTAAATTGAATTTGTTGTTTTATATAATCACAATAAAAATTTAATAAAATAAATTTATTGTTTAATTTTGTCTAATTTCCTTTTTTACTTTTAATTTATTTAAAGTATTATCGCTTATTTTAGTTAATTACGTTTTTAATTTTTATCAATATTTATGGAACAATTAAAAAATAATTTATGATAATACATTAAATAATTGAGTAATTAACAAAGAAATATTTTCATGAAAAATCATAAGATTGGTTTTAAATTAACGAATGCAGCTAAATATTTTTATTAAATGTCAAATACTCATATTATTTCTATATCATAGAAACCTGTCTAGACCCATTTGATAAATATACGTCATAATTTGCTTTATTTAAATGCACTTAATGTTGCAAACATGTTCATTAAATTACGTAGGTTTTGTTTTTAAGTAATTTGTTTATCCAAATGTGTCAACATGATTCTCCACAAAAGATTATTTATAACATAAGTAACTTTGATAATGATTTAGAATATATATGGAATTAACAATCAACATTTACTCTAATGTAAATCACTTTAATTCAATGTACTTTAATTTAATTTGATGCGCTTTATTGTAAATAATAAAAATTGAAGATTATTTTTGTACTAAATAAATAAATATGCCAAAAGGGCTTTGATTATTTTGATTAATTATGGGATCACTATCGACGAATTTGGCGCCTAAACGCCGGCCACAATATCTAATGATTAGGCTTAGAAATTAATTAAGTTATGTCCTGTAACTAGGCGCATTATGTATTAACAAACTGGTGAATTATGTATAAATTGATAAACTATTGCTTTATTATCCTGATAATTATTAAGCATATTGACGCTGACCATCAATTAAATGATACAGGTCACTGGCAAATGTTTATGAATGAAGAGGTAAACAAAAAGTACCTAGATATCACCAAATCAAAGTATTACACATACAATGGTTGCAACAGTAAGCTATTATTTAAAGTCATTTATTACATTTAAATAATATGTATGAGTAAAAAATAAAAAGGCCTCTACAATTTTTACTCAAGTGTATTTATAATTGTTCTTGGGTATATTTGCAAGTGTTTCACATTGCTCACTAAACATTCGCGTGAATACTAAACACGTCAAAAATATTTAGTCCTTTTTAATTTCCACCCATACATATAGTACCAGCATGATAAACCTATTAATATTAGCCAGGTTTTTTGGGGACCCACGTTGTGACTCGACGTTAAAAAACAAATTTCTAAGAGACGACAGTTTCGTACT